TGAGCGTCATTTCATTCTCATATACAAGATGTTTCCTAATTACGGTTCCTAACTGCAGGTGGTGATTCGATAGGTCATTTTAGGAAGAAAAGTTCCCATTATCATATGTCCGGAGTTGCTTCGTTTTGGAGATACAGGGCGTTCAAATTGAAGAAAAAAAAACGGCAATTGAAAAATATCATGATATGAATATCCTGGAACCGATTTGGTTGAAATTTGATACTTTGATTCGAACTAATCAGGCGCTTATTGAGCACTATTTGAATTAGAATTATTGGGGCCAGTGGCGTCTCAGTGGGCACCACATCGAACAATATTGTAAAAAAAGTACGCCACTGACTTATTTTGGTAAATTATTATTATTTTTAGATTAAGCAACTCAAAATACAACTTTTTGGTCTTTTGTATTTTCTTTATATTCGTTTTTGAGAGAAAAAATTAAAGCCACTGTATTACATATCATGAACACCTGCATTGGAGAAATGAGTTTTTCATTATTTCCGCCAAAAATATAATTGACACTTGATATGCTGGAATTCTAGAAAATTTGACAAATAAAAGTACCAAATCTCAACCAAATCGGCTCCAGGATATTCATGATATTTTATAATAACCGTTTTTTTCTCTTTAATTTCAACGCCCTACGCCCCAACGCCATAGAAACTTTTCTTCTTAAAATGACAAATCACCCCCTGCAGTTAGGAACCGTAGTTAGGAAACACCCTGTATAAGTGCTGTTTCACAGTTACATGATTTTTTTTTGAAATTATGGACTTGATTACAATGAAAAGGGAACTATGCTGGCGCCTATTCAATTCAGAAATCTTTTGAAGGTTATACAGTCTCGTATATCAGCTCATAGATATTTTTCTCGGTGTACATTAACGCGAATGATGATCAGGACATTTTGGAAACAGTTTTGATTGGGGTGATGATCAGTTTGTTCCATACGTCATTTTGTACCCTGAACCATTATGATTTTCATTGAATAAACAGGGTGTTTCAAAAGTAAGAATCATGATTTGAAGAGACTTATTTTCTAGATCAAAATAAGACTTTTTTCGATAAACATGTGTTCGCAAACGCTTCTTTACCGATCTACAGAGCGTTTCAGTTTTCGAGATATTCAGATCAAATTTGAAACAGGTTACTTTCTTGGGTTCACATCATACAGGATGCCGAGTGATTGTTAGAATCTAAAGAAGGATATATTATCAGGAGTCAAGCCCTTTTTCGCTACATAAACCTTTATTGTTAAAAATTTTGATTGAATCTAGCGAATAACAAATAACGATTTTGAAAAAGTATATGAACAAAATAAATAATTCATTTCGTATTTGAATATCCACCAGCGGCGCACCACAAAAAAGTTTGAGGAGTGAAAAAGGGCTTGACACCTGAAAAAATATCTTACTGTAGATTCACACGTTTATAACACTTGTTACATAATATAATATGAAAATACTGAAATTTAAACGCTCTGTCGATCGGTATGAAGCGCTTGCTGATTGTAATCTGAAAAATGTGCCTCTGAAATTTTGATGCTGAATTATGAAACACCCTGTATATATGGAATTGAATTCCTAGAAACTGAATTGAGTGAAATTATGTATTGCTCTTCAAAATTGTTAGTAATTTTCAGTCAACGAATTTTCATAAAGTGAGAGCTTATTAAATTTATCGAAATACACTTCTTTTTCAACAAATTCAAATTTGTTTCTAAGAGCACGTCACTGTCGAGGGTTCGTATAAATCCAGCTTCAATCAAGGTGTGCATTTTAAGAGAATCCAAGCCAATCCATTAGTATTCTTTAACATTCCCACGCATTTTAGGCCATTTATTACGATTACTGGAACATGAAGACGCGGCATTTTTTCAAATGATGGCTTGATGAAACGTCGAACATTTAATTGAGTATAATGTGGTGGATACGCACAATTGGAACATATTCAATCAGGAATATACCGCGTGTCCCAGAGTTTACCTGTTCCAATGGAATACCTCATTCATACAAATTTGAGCAGAGTAGAAATGAAAAGTTCTTCCGGGTTGACCAGTGACTTTCTTGTTAAAAATGGCAACCTGTATATTTTTTTCAGTTTTGGAAATTTATATTCAAAATGATAAAAATGCGTCACTCGAAAATTTGAATAGGAAGAATACTAGTTTTTTTCACTTTCCTGGTCCTGTTGAACTATGATAAAAAATATTTCCACATGACAAGTGAATTTCCTGAAATCAAATTAAAGGAGTTTTCATCATTATGTTCTAGGGGGCAATTTCCTCTATCTTCCAGTACTAAATAGAGAATTCAGATACCTCTCGAATGAAATATCACTAGACCCCTCCTGCAAATTGAAAATGTCAGTCACCATTTTGGGTGATTAATAATTTTAATTTTCGTCATAACATCAGTTATCAGTCTCCCATTGGGGAAACAAATAGTATTTGGAAAAAACTTCAGTTGGTCAAAGGGAAATTAGCCTGCCAAACCTCACCTGCGGCATTCACGACCAGGAATAGGAAGAAAAGTGTCAATGAACATGGGTCGAGACATGTCTCCTAAGGGAGCTACTGCCCTGATGATATTTCTTGAATATTTTCGAAACGTCATGTGATGAAATGATGCATTTCGGTACAAGAACTGAACTTTCCATGCTCAATGTATTGAAAATAAAATCATTCCAAACTTTCATTTAGGGGTGTATAATACAGGGTGGAAATACATTGGATATTGCTCAAACTTCTTTATGTGCATATTTTTCGACAATTTGACCACGGATCATGAAAATCCACACTAGTCACTACTCAACAAAAAAAAAGGTGCCCAAGTTTCGTATCGATCAGATGTTGAATCGATTTAAAAATATTGTATACACTCACATGTTATGCATATCGTTGCCAATTTTTAAATCATACTGGCTTTGAAACTATCAACTACCTACTTTATTTTCACCGCACACAATCTCATAGAAGCGCGTAATTTTCGTGATGAAAAAATATTTATAAATCGATTGTACTCAAAACTGATAAACTGATCGATACGGAACAAGAGTACCTTTTTTTGTAAAGAGGTGTGGATTTTCATAATCCGAAAATGAATTGTCGAAAAATATGTATACAAAAAAGTTTGAGCAATATTTTATGTAGTTTCACCCAGTATTATATACTTCTGAATGAAATTTTTAAATGATTTCATTTTCACTGCATTGAGCATGGAAAGTTTAGTTCTTGTACCGAATAGCATCATTTCACCTCTCCTCGTTTCGGAAATAATATTCAAGAAATATCATCTTCAGGAGCCTTTCAGGGGGCAGTAGCTCCTATTTCTTGTATTAGAAGCCGCTGGTGAAGTTTGGTAGGGTAATTTCGGGACACCCTGTATAAGCGAGAAGACAGTAGATATTAATTAAAGAAATCTGAACCTCACAGTTTAGTCGTGATGCATTTATTGAATGTCATCATGCAGAATGCTGATTTTTTTTAAATCAGCATCAAAAGGTGCAAGTCAACTAAATAATCTAACACCACTTTCCATATTCAATTGGAAAGATACAATAATGTTAATAACAATAATAATAGTAATGAATGCTTTATTGAATTAACAAGAACATATGATATGGGCGATTCTTTCATTTTGACTTCTGAATCAGAGTTAAGGTCTTCTGGTGGTGTCAAATTCAAAAGATATAAATACACATGGGAAAGTATAGATCAGAAGTATCAATTTAGATTTATGTTTATTTTCATATTTTCAATCTGATGCTTATTTATTTGTTGCAACATCACCAAAAGATCGTTCGAAAAAAACACCAAACTCTTGTATCCAGAGTTTTTTCTTATTATTTTTAATAAAGCCTGTTTATAGGTGGTCGAAATATGAAAAGACACTCTGTACCTATATGAAATGTATACTTGCAGGAAAACTCAAATTCTATTTTTCTTTTGAGAATATCTCTTCCACTTTAACACTTATTTTGGATTCAGCCTTTTTTCTCTAAATTCGATGATGAATCACCAGTTGATAAGCGGGTATTTTTGAATGGATAAAATCCCATGAGAAGTTCCGCATTTCTGTTGACGAAACCTTTTCAAATTTGCACGAAAGTCAACTTTTTATACATCACTAAATGACAGTAGCTGACATTGAAATCGAGGTTAGGTTTATCAAATAGAACAATAAACACCAACGCTATGGCATCGGGCGGTTTCATCACCCTGTATAAGTTATCCTAGTCAAATATCCTGGATAAGCTGATGTGTCGGTAGTTGGAGTATCGTGCTTTCAAGAATTTTGTAGAAATCTTTGAATTTTGACATTTCAAAGCTACCCAAAAATTTTTATTTCTGAATTGAAATGCTGATCGCTCTGTGAACATTTCAATGGAAAAACACTTAGGTTTATCAAAGAGAACAATAAACACCAACGCTATGGCTTCGGCGGTTCTATCACCCTGTATAAGTTACCCGAGTCGAATCTCCTGGATAAGGTGATGTGTTTGGTAGTTAGAGTATCGTGCTTTCAAGAATTCTCTAGGAATTTTTGGGTTTTGACATTTTGAAACTATCAAAAAATTTTGATTTCTGAATTGAAATGAGGATCGCTCTGTGAACATTTCAATTTTCAATCCAAGAAAGCTGTGCAGCACGACATCGTATATCAATGGAAAAGCACTTACATAGGGAAAAAATGACAGTAGCTGACATTGAATCGAGGTTAGGTTTATCACATCAAATAAACACCAACGCTATGGCTTTTATCACCCTGTATAAGTTACCCGAGTCGAATCTCCTGGATAAGCTGATGTGTTGGTGGTTGAAGTATCGTGCTTTCAAGAATTTTGTAGAAATCTTTGAATTTTTAAATTTCAAAGCTATCCAGAAATTTCAATTTCTGAATTGAATTGCTGATCGCTCTGTGAACACTTTAATTTTCAATCCAGGAAAGCTGTGATAAGCCTATGCAAGACGACATCGTATCAATGGAAAATGCACTTACATGAGGAAGCAGGAAGGCAAGAAAGAACAAATAGCTGGTAAACTCTTGTAACTATGTTTGAATTTGTTCTGGAGGCTTTTATATTATTCTGCGATGGCGCCTACGTAGAAGAGGAATGCTTTGCGCATCCCATATACAATTTTTTATTGTATGCCCAGACATTATCTCGATCGAGGTGTCATTCCCCAATTAGTTGTTTGAGGTGGAAAAGATAATGCTAATGGATATTTTTCAGGTAAACAAATCAGTGAATCAAACTCGATCAAACTGATGGAATATCAATTGGGCGAGAAGATAGATAATTGTGATATACCTACAGGGTATTGAACTTGCTAGATCTTCATATTCTAGCCTCAGAGTATTTCGTACCCTGTATATTGTTTATTTCACTTCGTGTTGGAATCATTCTTAATGACATATTCATTCGAATAATATTTTTTTCCTTATCTCTTGGAGCGCACAAAAAGGAATCCCTATGATGTTCGAGGAACATCGTATGCGAACCTATAGGTAGGATCAGGAGATAAGGTAGGTATTGGCATTATTTTTCAAACTTTTGGAGGTTTCCTAATAGCACGCAACCTCCTAGGGACGCCCCTTTTTGATACAATCTAAGTCCGAATGTTCGGGACCTATAATAGTTGTCCTTGGGACGTCCCATTCCGTACGTTTCATGCAATGTCCGAGCAAGGACGTCCATGGAATGTCCGAGCTGGTACATACTTTCAAATGTACTAGAAATAGCATCCTATAGACATTCCACGTGGTACATATAGTAGACTGTCCATGCAAGGGCGTCCTCAGCGTGTCCTTGATGGGATATCATTTTGAATATTCCATTAGGAACATTCATCGGACGTACCAAGTAGTACACATTCTCGAATGATTTCAGTTCTTATATAATGTCCCTTCTAGAACAACCATGAAATTTCCCAGGCGGGAAATATTTCTGTACGGACGCACTTAATATTTCCAGGATCGTATAACACCCGAAATGCCCCATAGGGACAACCGTCGGATGTCCGAATTGGTACATGAACTGTTATGACTTCAGAAAGAACCCCTATAGATAATCCATATGATCATATCCTCAGAATGTCCTGGATACAATTCGGAATGTGTCCAAAGGGACATCAATCGGTATACATTTGCATCAGGACTTCAGATTGACATCCTATATAAATGTTCTTCGAGCGAACGAATGATAATTTTCAATGTCCTAGGAATAACGTCCTACGGATGTTCCAGTCGGTACGCGAGATATGTTGTCCCTGCGAGGACGTTAACTTACACCATAGATTAACGACTCCCCGTCGTTAATCTATGCTTACACCTTGCCTACGATCGACTGCTTGTAGGCTATAAATACTCCCCGTCAATGTCCTTCACGCGAGTCAATTGTGGGAACCTGCTTCAGGATCTATTGAGTAACTTCTACGGACCATCAACTCACCTGGATGTTTTCATTTGCTATGCAAGATCTGGTTTTAGGACGACTCAAATAAATTGAAAGTCATGACGTACGTCAAGGACATCCTAAGAACATTCCAGACGACGTCCTATGAAAGTTTCAGGGACGTTCTATGATCTTTCCAGAAAACGTCCTCTGGACATCCCAGAGAACGTTTCGGAGGATGATCAATGACTTCGGTACAAAAACAGAATGTTCAATGAACTTTTTGAAAGGACGTCCATTGGATGATTTCCCAAAGAAGTCCAATGTTTATCCTTGAGGAATATCCTTTTTTGGTGAGGAGTCGGGACATTTGTACTTTTCACGGACGTACTATGGATGTCCGCGGTACCAAGAAGGCATGTCCTATGGACGTCCCGAATGTCCCGGCGGGACGTCCTATGGACATCCATGTGACTTCAGTGTGCTATTAGGGTTATTAATTCTCTATGGCAATAATTCCTTCGGCGAAGAATTCCGGAGCTCTGCTGATATAAAGACAAACGAGTTTTCGAAAAGAGTTGTTCGACATATGGATGTGACTGGTCTATTGATAGTGATAGAATCAAAGCAGAGATTTCTGAAGAATATTTCCTGTGGAAGCATCTATAGAAACGTTAGAGGTCGCCGAGTTTTATACGGTGTTCCGATGATGTTGAAGGATTAGTTAGTGTGGCATCACCCAACAGACGAATGGCTCTTCTCTGGATGGAATCTAAGAGCATCAGAGTATAAACTTGATGTATATTACTTTCTTTCCACCCTTTAGTATGAGATAATACAACTTAAACATAGGTATGTATATAAATATATAGCATAAATTGAATATTAGAATATACTGCCAGATGATCCAATATATAATTCCTAAACAGCTATTTGAAGCTTACTGGTATCGGAATAATATTATAATTACATGATATGCGTGGAAAAATATGTTGTGTAACCTCAATGCAATACATGTGCACTATTATTTTACTACGGTAACAACATTAAAATTACATTTAAGTGATTATTTTCTTATCTACATCTAATAACAAACAGTAATAATAATGTAGATGCTCCAAATAAAGTATTAACAAAAACTCGTAGGTATTTTTATTCCGTGCGGAAAGCTACTTTACCCCTCAACAGGTTCTCATGATTTATAAAGCACAGATACGACCTGTTCCAGGATACTGTTCTCACATATAGGGTTCAGCACCCATACATACTCCGATTCCATACAGAGAAGAGCCATTCGCCTAGTGGGTGATGCCAGACTCACGACAACACTTTGACATCATTGGAACAACGTATAGAAAGACCGACGAACTTTCACTTTTTTCTAGATACTTCCGGAAATGTTCTTCAAGAATCTTTGCTATCATTCCACGACAAGCAATACCAGCCAGACGAACTCGACAAGCGCAGTCAGCAAATTCTTTCGTTGTCAACCTCGAAATATGTCGAACAGCACTATATCAAAACTCCTTTCCCTATTAAACGGACAAGCTCTGGAATTCATTGTCTGGGGAAGTATTTCAAAAAACTAATAATCTCCAAAAGTTCAATAAAAATTCCAACACCTACCCCCTCTCCCTAACCTCCCTAGGTACGCATGATGTTCTTCGAATATTATAGGGATAATCTTTCGTGCGCACCAAGCGATAAAAAAGTAGAATATCGAAATAAAGGTATTGAGAACAATGAGGACTATCAGTAATAGGTAACGATGGTGATCAAAAATAGTAATATAACGATGCCAATGAGGCCTAATTTGAAATTACATTATATTAATGTGGAAACAGTATTTTAAAACAGGTCGTATCTGAGCTTTGAAGATAATTAGAAGCTGTTGGGGCATCGTCCACCAATATTGGTGGACGATGGTTGGGGTATGTAAAGTAGCTTCTCGAACGAAATAAGAATAACAGTTTTTGTGAAGCAGCTTTGGCGATGGATCTAACATGATTTTCCCATGAGAGAATATTGCAGACGGAAATACCTAGCATAGATATAGTGGTCATGCTGATGATGGTGGTACCAGACATTATTATATTATTATCAGGCATACTGAGTTTTGCCTTTCTGAGAAAAAACAGGTTCAAGTTTTGGTGGCGTTAAATTCATCTAGGTGGTTGGTTACCCAGGCTGTAATTTCAGCGTTGGCCTGCCTACGTCTTGAGTTCTTAGTTTCCATCATGCTGGAAGATAGGTAGAGTCCATCTAATCCCCAAAAAAGAGAACAAAAACCTGCCCAACAACTACAGGTCTAATGCCCTGTTATCTCTGAAGTGATGAAGAAAGCCATCAACATCGAGCTTATCAAATATCTGGAAAGCTCAGGAATCAGTGGCCTTCGGGGAATGGTGGTACCAGACATTGTTATATCAGGCATATGAGTTTCGCAATTCTAGAGAGAATTCAAACTTTATATTTGGTGGCGTTGAATTCATCTAGGTTATTGGTTACCCAGGCTGTAATTTCAGCAAGATATTTATTGAAAACGTTGATCTGCCTCTGTCGTGAGTTCCTAGTTTTCTTAATGAAAATTCTGGAAGAGAACGCAGTATGGAGAGTACCATCATCTGCAAAACTGTGGACAGGGCGAGTGGTTACTCCCAACAGATCATTGATACGAAGTAGGAACAATGTTGGTGCGAAAATTGATCCTTGTGGAACGCAGGAATTGATGGCAATGGTATCAGACGATACACCGTCCACCACCACGTGGCGTGATCTGCCTCAAAGTAAACTCGATAGGAGATGGCATAGCTGAGGTGGTAAGCCGTATGATGGTAGTTTGTGGAGGAGTTCTTGGTCTAACGCCACAGCTATTGATTCTTAATGTTTTTCTAATGAAGCTTGCCGTATATGAGTGACGTAGGCAACTAAATCTCCAGTGGGTCTTCGATGGCGAAAGCCATATTGTCTATCATTAATGATTCCTGAACTATCCAGATATTTGATGAGCTCAATGTCGATTGCTTCCCAGGTAGCACAAGTTAGTAAAGTGACGTTATAATGACGCCTTTTTAGGTCGTTATTGGTCCATGACGTCCTCGACTCCAGAGAGACCTGAAGATGATGGTTCATGATGTATGACGTCCCAACAAAGTCAACTTTTTTCCACTCGTGAAATAAACTTATTGACCTCTTCTAATATTTTCTACAGAATGTGCAATAAAATGTGAATCCCTACCATTTTGCGGAGGAATGTTAATAATTTCATCTTTCGAGTGTACAAAGAAAAAAAATCTTACCCTCATATTCATTGATTCACAAATGAAAAATAAATTTGAGAATATGATGAAAGTTGGCGATCTGGCTCTATTTTATAGATATTTTCATGGACGATACTCTTCTGAAATATCAACAATTGTTCCTCCCTTGGCAGTCCCCGCGAGATTAACCCGTCAGGTTGAGGCTTCGCACCCCTTTGTGGTCACTTTCGAGACCTGCAGAACATCTCTTCCCAAAGACTCGTTCATCCAACGAACAACGAGGCTCTGGAACACATTGCCAAGGGAGGTGTTCCCCGAGGCATACAACCTCCAGAAATTCAAGAAGAACACCAATTCCTACCGTTTTCCCTTGGTTCTCACGATGTTCTCTGAACATTACAGGATATTCC